TACTTAATTATAAAGCAACAGTCTATATGAAAATGTTAGAAGCAAAAAAATCCCATAAATACAGTTTTTAGAAATTTAGCTTTATAGTTTTCTGTCAGTTAATTATGTTTTTTAGTTAGTTTTACACAAAAAATTAAACATTGTAAACCCCATCCCGTTTTGTCCAACCCAGGTTTGCTAAAACGGGACATGTAAGAGTTTGGAAAATGAATTTTTTTACTATTTCACATTCATTAAATTTAGTTTAAAATATGTTTTTTGTGTACTTCAATAAGTGATATAGCTGTAAAAAAAATAATGTGTGGTTCTCTTTAACAGATTTTCCGTAGTAAATAAAAACAATAATGGTATCCCGTTTCGTCCAACTTTCCCCTACTTGTCTGCTCTAAGAGTTAAGATAAATATTTTAAGTACAGACATTTTTTCTTTTGTTTTTCAGCAGCATGCAAATCTGTTTCAACCAGTTAAGATAATAGAAGTAAATTTTTCAAACATATAAAAAAAAAAAAATAGGCGAATATACAGAATCGAGTTACCTATAGAAATTGACTAAGTGAATAGTTTCATGGTTTTAGAGAACAAAATCCATAAAAGTTCTATAAGTTATTAAGTGCTATGTTAATGTTCCTAATATTCACTCTAAATAAGGTTTTTCGAAGCTCTGTCACCAAGGAAACTGAAAAGCCACAGTTCAAATGCCTTACACTTGAAGCAAAGCGATTATTTTAAACTATAAATATCATCTTGTCGTGAAGTAGTATCTGGGCTTTAGAAGGGATAAATAACTTTAGTTATTAAACTTTTTTTAAAAATTGCATAATTGGCGACATTTTTTTCACCAAGATGAAAATTATCAAATATACCGCCTTATTCTCAGTTTTTGTAAATTGTTATAAGCACAGGTAATGCAGCATTGGAGTAAGTTTTTAAATATTCAAGAAATTAGATCACAAACGCTTTTCATTTTCACAAAACTGTGGCTTTTTTCCACATTGACGTTTTAGGCCATTTTCAGAATAAGAATAGACAGCACTGGCTTTACATTGGCTTAACTTGTCCTAACAGTCATGAGTGAGTAACTATAGAGTTATAGTAACTATATGAGTGAGTGATTACTTTCCTACCCAAGTAGCACAATTCACAAAAACTTAGCTTTGAACATTGTACAATATCATAGCGAAACACTGTACTATATAAAAATGGACCCCTTCTATAACGTATACTCAATATCGTGAAACAATATTGTTCGATATTGTAAAAACGTTGGGCAACGTCGATCGATATCTCTCAGCATTTCGAATATCTCTAAATTTATATTTTGGAATTATAACAATTTGACGTCATTTTTTGTCTTTTAAATGATTAATTTTGATTTAAGAAGACAATAAAGTTTAAAATGAAAAGTTTTACAAACAGACTTTTAATGTGAAATCGTACACACTATGTCGATTTTCACCAATATTGACAATGTCGGTCGATATAGACTAAAGCTGTTACAATATCCCTGTGCTACTTGGGTAGTGCGTAATCCTGCCATAATTTGTTGGCTTTTTAATAGTTTGAAGAAAAAAAAAGTTCAGTATATCAGGGGTGATTGTGGGCCCAAATAAAAAATCCTGAAAATTTCTTGAATAAAATCATTCAAAAAATTAATATCTTAGGATTTCCGGAAACTTTCGAATCGCGGTTAGCGAAAAATCAGGATTTTTTCCGGAGCACAATCTCACCCCTGTATATATAACTTAATGGTTTGCTCCTGAACTCACTTTTAAATACCCAATGTAGGTGAAAATGAATTTGCCAGGAAAACTTTTTCTGGCAGTATAGCGTCCTCTTACGAGATAAAGTCCTTGATAATGCACAAGTAAAAAGTTATTAAAAATTTATTAAGTCATTAATAAATTTTTTAATAATAACTTAATTAAAAAATAAAGTTATTAGTTAATAAATAATGAAGTTAAATTATGTATACATATATGTATATAGAAAAAGAAAGAAGAAAAAATGAAATTTTAAAATATTTTATTTGCACTTGTGTAAAGTCTTGTAAACAACTAACAGATACCAGTGTTTTTAAACTGATGTCACAAGCATACCAATACAAATGTAATATACATGACAAAAAACAATAAAATATTGCCAGTATTTACGTAAAAAAGACATATAAGATCCCATTTTTATTTCACTCAAATATTGATAATTTTATGACAACATTTTCAGTCTCTAACATTAAGAGACTATGAGCACAAGTGCTGCTAGGAGTTTGACATACAAATTCGTTTTCAATTAATTGCAATCCCAAAAGAAAAACACAATTCTATATTCTCATTCTGAGGTAGTATATAAAAGGAATATTTTTAACAGCTTAACTTATAATTAGGTTTCTTTTGCTCCCTGAAGGAGGGTTGATAAGGAGGTAAAAAAAATAAATAAATATAAATATTCATATATAATGGTCTAAACACATACTAAATTTGTATGTTTCATACATGTAAACCAAATATGCAATCATCTGTACTAAATTTTTTTTTTCAGAAAACACAAAAGTCGATAATAAATTAATTTCAAATAATAATAAATAAATGTAATGATTTTAGTCCCTCCGGTCAATAATATATTTTTTTCGTCACTTTTTTCCTTGAAGCTCGAATATTATCGCAAATTTCAAAAGCACAGAATATCCAAAGATCATTTTTAATTTTATATACATACGAATTTAAGGTTTTTAGAAAGCAAGTAATTTGTGAGAAAACTGGAGCAATCTTAATTACCTGAAGAAATTTACTAAAATGCTCTTTTTCAACATGTAGATAAGCACCATTAAAAATATAGTTTATGATAAAAGTATGATTTATTTAGGAACTTTCATTTATCCCTGACTTCCCAACATCATTAATTTTAAAATTAATTACAATATTAATGATAAAATTATTATTAATCGAAAGTTCTATTGTAACTCTTCATATAACATTGCTTTAAAATTTTTTTTTTTCAATTTAGAATACTTCGTAGAATTTCGTACTAATCATGTTCATAAGTATTAATTAACATGACAATACGTCTTGTAAGGGAAAAAAATAATAAACTGTAACAGCAGATAATAGTACACTATTAATAATATAAATAACAGTAACATTTAGAAGAAAAAAAATTAAATAAAATCATGGCTAAAATATTTTGAATGTGCAAATTATATAAATGCTTCTCTTATTTAAAAAAAAAAAAAAAAAACTTCATTCTAAAGTTTTTAGATGACTAATGGAATCAATGAAATTTTGCAACCATTTTAACTATCAACTAGGCTCAAACAATAGAATAAGACTAGATAAAAAAAAGAAAATTTGTGTGAATCATACAATTAGAAAATCAGTCTTTAATAGAATAGATTAGTCTCAATTTTAAAAGGTTTACATTGAGCTTATGTTATTTCATAGGAACACATTAAATTAACATCTTTTCTTATCGATATATTTAAAAAAAATTTTTACATTTTGTAGCCATTCAGAATTGGTAACAAAAATAAACATTTAGATTGAGTATTTACACAAAAAAACTTGAGTTAAAACTTAAAATTAATTAAGAAACAAGGGATATGCAAATGCAAATATTTCTATACCATTATTAAAATTCCAAGTTTCAAAATATTTTTTCAGAAACAATTCCATACAACAAATAATTTTGGACCATTAAAATTTATTTTAACTTAAAATTATTAAAAGAGATAAAACAAACAACTGTACCACAATAAATGCAAATTTTTAAAATATAGAAAGGAAAATTAACATAAAATTGCTGTATAATATGAACTTTATTTATAAGTGGTATGGCTATTGCTTTTGTGCCAAGGTGAAAAATGCATTTAAAATGTAAGAATGTGGATAACAATAAAATTGTTAGCTACATTTATAATTGTTAAAGAAAACGAGTGGTATGGCGAAGGTTTTTGTACTATTATGAAAATGCAAAGATTTAAAATGTAAAAATGTGAATTATAATAAAATTTCTACTTAAATTTAAAATTATTTAAGAAAACATGTTGGAAAGCAAATGTTTTTGTACCATTATGAATATGTAGAGTTTTAAAATGTAAAAATGTGAATTGACATTTAAAATTACTCAAGAAAACAAGTGGATATGGCGAGAGTTTTTTGTACCATTATTATGAAAATGCAATGTTTGAAATGTAAAAATGTCAAAATTATGATATGCAATAGCACAACAGGTGCATACTTCAATGACTAACTACAACAGATGGTATAAAAATTTAAATGCAATAGGCACATATTAACAATGTTCAAAGTTTTTAATAAAAATGCTAGTTATAAAAGGTGCTAACAAATAACTTGTACATTGACTATAAAAATATATATAAAAAAAAAACAGATTGGTATAATAAAACTGCATTGTTAACAAATGCATTTTTCTTATTATATACAAATATTTCTTTGCAGTTTTTAAAATTGCTTTTTAATTTTTACGTAGTTATAAAAAATAAACAGTGAAATCATCACAAATTTTCCTGTACGCACAAACAACTTTTAAGCTTCCCTGTTTGGTCCACGTAAAATGGAATACAAATCACTCCAGTTTGAATGGAATGAAGAAAACTACTGTTTAAAACAACTATACAATCATCTCTGGTCATTGCAAAGCATATTTCCAAAGTACATGTTCAATTTTCTAACTATGTTTCAACTAATTTAACAGTGGAAAAATCTTAATTTCTTTAACCCTAGGTAACAATATATTTATAAAGTCACTTATTTTCAACATACAGTACAGAACCCGTTATCCGGAAAACCAAAAAACCGGAACAAAATTCGATAAATTTTTCCGCCATTTAAAAAAAAAAAAAAAAATTTCCTCATAAGATTTTAGGATTTTTTTCTTTCTTTTTTGAAAGATGTTTACCGACCATCACTTTAGAAATAATCATTACTGTATTACTTCATCGTTTTTTCTTTTTTTAAAGATTATTTCCTATTTTTTTTCTAGTTGAGTTTAACAATAAAAAAAATGGCTTTTTGTAGCGATTCAGAAAACCGGAAAAATCAGTTATCCGGAATAGCGATGGTCCCGATCGCTCCGGATAATCGGTTCCCTACTGTATTACCATAGAACTTCCAAAATTGTAAATGTTACATTTAATAAAAATGTGTTTCAATTAAGCTATTGCAATTTCTTTGACATAAATGTTATTATTTTTATATGTTATTATTTGATATATGTTATGAAGTTATGAGATATATGTTATTATTTCTATTTTATAATGTATGGTTCGAATGACTAGCTCATTAGTTTAATTATTTAGGATTTAATTGTTTCATTTACAAACAGAAATAAATGCAGAAAAGACAAAAAAGAAATTATTTTTTTAAGGTATTTGAAGAAATAATTAAACTTTTTCATTAAAAATAAAACCATAATATTAACAAAACGTGTTATGTTAGTCAAATCATTTTAGTAATGGAGAATGCAGATGCAATGACCAGAATAAATCACTGTACTTCATACATAACAACCAAAATTGTCTTTCGCCGGAGTACTTCAAAGCAAAAGCTTACATTTAAAGATTTGGAACATTCAATATTGACTCAATCTTCCCAATCAGTCAGTTTTATGACTAGCTATAAGTGACAAGTCCTTTCATTAGTTCAATTCTTCAGAATTATTCTCGTTTTCCACTCTCCTTAAACAAACAAAAAATGGGATTGGAACAACCATTTATTTCTTCCATTAATACAGAAATTGACTAAAGAAAAGAGTTTTTTCTAGAAAGGCACATTTTCATCCCCATCAACAATTTCACTTTTAAGAGGATTCTTTTGCTGTTCTGCCAATTTATGACTGCCAGGGAGAGATGAGGTAAGAGGGTGTGTGGCGGCTGCTATATGACTGACTATACATTCTTCGATTTGCTCCCAGCACGACCTCAGGCAATCCTAAAAAAATATAAAGGCACATTAGGATCTAAATATTTTCAAAAACAATAGCACGTATGTTTTAAAAAATTGATTTGGAAGAAGATAGAAATGTATGATTTGCTGCCTTCTGCTGAGGGAACCAAACATTTTTTCATCAAAATTCAAAAATTGTTACTGTATTCACCAGATCATGCTGATGATTGGGAAAACTAAAAAACACCATTTACTGAAGCATGATGCCAGACCATTCCAACTCAAATATTTACAACAGCATAAGGGGTAGAACTTAAGAAAAATTTAAATAATATTGCTGGTTCCTACACTTTTCCACTGGTTTGTTTATATGTCTAAGACTTTATTTCGAAAAAGTTTATAAGCAAAGATTCAATTTAAATGTAAAATTACAATACAGAGAATGTGTTTGTTCAAAATTATGATGAAATTCGCTTTGTGAACAACACAGACTACCATCCTTTTCAAACTGAATGCAGGCCTGGGGAACTGCTGATAATACATTTTATTGTGGTCGATCTGAGTCAAAATGAATGGTGGTCTGTGTGCTCAGGACCACCATTCTAGTGGTCCTGAGTGCAAAATTCTAGTGGTCCTGAGAGCACAGACCATCATTCATTTTGAGGGTTGTCTGTCACGTTTGTACTCAAAACTGCACTATACTCTTGCTGCATATAGTAGTTATTTTGAAAAACAATATTTTGTTGCTTTATTCAGTAATCAATGTCATTTGTACACGAACGTTATAACTTATTTTGAAAATTGGGGATAACTAAACCTAGTTTCCTAAGCAAAACGCAGCAAGTTTTATTTCCTCTTGTTTTATTTAATTGTTTTTTTTCCCTCTCTTTAAATGATCGTTAATATTTAGAACAACATGTTATTATGAGACTGGAAGGTTCATACGTACCACATCAATGCCTGTTATTTCATTGAGGCTTGACAACAGTTCTGTCGCTGAAGACCATTTTTGTTCTATTCGAGATGAAAGACCTTGGATAGCAGCTCCTAAACTAGCGGCAGCAATCATAGAGGGAGGATACATTGCAAATTTAACATCTAAAAAGAAAATTAGTTTTATAAGTATGATTTGAAATCAAATAATGATTTGAAATGTTAACACTTTTTTAAACAGTCAATGTTTTGATCATTAAAAAATATTACTTACGTAGTTGATCGTCACTGTACTATGAGTAAATTTAACTTAGAGATTTGATAACATTCTGACAATTAGGATAATTATTATATGGGATCTCATTAAGGACGATTTTTCATTTTTATTAGAATTACTGAAGAACGATTTAACAGAACATTTCAAAACTTAAATCATCACAAAAGCTTCAGAATGTAAAAATCTATTTTTTGGGGGAGGGAAGTAGAGAATTTATATTAATATGGGTTAAAAATTTTACACCCCCCTTCCCGTAAAAAATCAGATAAATATATATTAAAAAAAAGTAGAAACTAACTGGAATTATAATCATCCCGTACAAAAAATAGTAATTATTATTATTATTTTAACACCAACGTTGTCTTCCAAATTAAAGCGCAAACGAAGCCGAGATATTTCAATGAAAACGAACCCACTATACAACAACCATAACAATTGTGAACAACAATCAAAACATCACATGTTGTTTCCCACACTAATAAAAATCTTTTGTTTCCCGAAGAGCGGAGGTTCGACAATAAAACATCGCCAAAATCGGAGAAGACGTGAGAGAAATTCCTGCCATCTCACAAGCCCTCTTTCTTTTAATCGCCACGGCAATTAACTCAGCGATGCGTAGTCAAAAAATGATTCCGTGCATGACCAGAAATGTCGGCCGTAATTATTTATTCCGGCTTTTGTTGCAATTCACGGACTTTGGATGGGAAAAAACTCCGCTAATTCCTAAGGAAAATCTCTAGGACTCAGTTCAGCAGGACGGACAGAAGTAATCAGCGATTTTATGGATGCTTGATTTTGCGATCTCAGTAGATAGATGTATGTCCCTAGGAGTATACTTTAAATGCTCAGTTTAACTCCAGGCGAAATCTTTTGTATTCCGAGCATTTGTCTCTTTAACCCTTTGACACTGAGGAGTAGCAGACAATGGATGTGATAAATGTTATTGTTTAGGACAATTGACGAAATGATAAAAACCCAATTGCTACAAATTGTACAAAGTAAATTATTTTATTGTTCTGTACCGATTATGTGCGTTTTTTTAATTGTTTTGAATTTGAAGAATTGAAGTAAATTACAGAGTTAGTATCGATCAGTATTCACGGAGTGTAAGGATTAATTTAGCTATACGGAACCCAGCAATTATTACGAAACAAACACTTATTTTAAAAACGGTAATAACGGACTTACACCCCATTTCCCCGTTATCTTTAACAGTCGTAATGCTTCACAGCTTTTAAGATAATTAAAAAAATAAGGCCAGTTTAGTTACAGCTGGAAGTATGATTAGCTTCCAAAAAGCAATAGGTAGAAGCTTTTAGAACAGCGATTGTTGAGCTTAGTCATAGTCGAAAAGCTTGACTCAAACCTACTGCGTTGTTACACATGTTACGTCACATTATCTAACGATCTGGTTTTAAAATTACATAATAATCAGCTTCACGCAACGAACATTAAGTTATTTTTTTAAATGCAGCGTTTTCCAAAAGAAAAAAAAAATGTTCAGTACAATGTCAATTTTCGTATATCTATTTGAAAAGTTCACTTAACATAGTGTGTACTACTTTATGATCCAAGAATCAAGGACACAAAAAGCTCGTGTAAATCGAGTAGAACTTCTGACTTCATTAACGATGCCAATTAAGCGATTTAACCATTAAATAACCCATAACCGTGAAGATAATTTACAATCGCATTGACAGGTATATATGAACAAGTCCGACAAAGAGAAACTGAAAGATTAAAAGGTAAAACTTGGCGAAGTGCCCGGCTTGTTGAAGTGCCAAGGTCGTCCATTTCCCAGGACCCTAAAAGAGATCAGCAGGCCCACACACCTTACCTGTCAGGTATGCTTCGCGAGAAAAGGAAGAAAATAAGAATAAAAAAGGAGGGGACAGATAAAAAATAGTTTTTTTATTTCACGTAAGCGGGCGTTTTGAAATCGAGACATGAAGTACAAAATAAATAGATAAAGCGGAAACAAAGACATTATATAAATAAATTTCAAAAGGATGTGGGTGGACTACAAGGCAATAATTTAAGAATAATACATTCTACAAAATATCTTTGAAAACAAGTTTAAATAGAGTTTAATTTGCAATTTAAAAAAAAATCTTTGATCTTCCTCCGCTAAACTGCAGCTTTCGTATGCTCAGCAGAGTGCAGAGGTTATCGAAAGGTAAAAGAACAATTTTTGGATTAAATCCTTATTGTCTGTTAAGGCATACATTTTTAGTAAATGTATAATAAGCGGATATAAAACTTATATTAATAACTGTTCATAAAATAGTATCATATAAGAGGTAAAAGGATAATTTAAAAATTGTTGAGGATCAAATTCAGTTATCAAGTATTATCTATTTTGATTAACTTTTACTGCGTTAAGTGAGTACTAAGTAAGATTTTGGAAACACTTAAATTTTTGCGTTTAAGAAAATGTTATGATCATCTTAAGAATAAGAGTACTAATTTATTCTACTATTTTAGATAGCTTTCTAAGAAAAGAAAGAAAAAAAAAAAAGGTTTGGTAACATCTTTCTTAATGTTATAGAAATTCTGCATTCTCAATTACATGAAGAAGTCAATTAACAAGTTCCTATTGCTAAAAGTCAATTACCATATTCGTAGCTGTTTAGAAGAACATCAATTTATTCGGTTAAATTTTTAAATAAGGCAGTTTTCTATTGTCAAAAGTTAGGTCAGCAGCTTTCTTACGCTCATCGACATTCTAAGCATAATGTTCTCAATTTAATTAATAAAAATATTTTTAATTTAATCGAAAGATTCTGATCAATAAACATCAATTGCTCTTTTCTTATCACTAAACGTTAATTATTATCTTCGTAGCTTTTTCAATCGTTAGTTCTATTTTGCTTACTTTCATAGTTAAAAATTTTTTTTTTATAAACTTCTAAGGTTTATATTAAAAGTATGCTTTTACTTTTATAAATTCCTCATATATAATCAATCTCCATTTAAAAGAGAGAAAGGGCAGTAAAAGTAGGGAAAAAAAAAACGTTATAAAAACTAACTATTGAACTATGAAAAAAGATAGAAAAAGAAAGAAAGAAAATAACTTCACACACATGAATTATGAAACGAAAAATACTATAAAATTAAAATGAACTATGAAAAAAGATATAAAAAAGGAAGAAAGAAAATAATTTCACACACGCGTAAAAGATGAAACGAAAAATAATTATATTTAATTATATCGGCATACTACTGATCAATTCGAATGATTCTCAGAGCGAATTAAATGTAGAAACATCCGCCGACAATAATCAAACGTCCCTGAAAGAGCACAGGGGAGGAGCTTTTTAAACACAGACTAACAAAAAGTGCATTAAGAAATACCTCCTTGGAGAATATATTTAAGTACGGATGCAAAAAAATTGAATGGAAGAAAAAAGAAGAAAAACTTTTTGTTTTATTTTACTTTTGGCGTAGGCGTCCCTGTAATATCGAGTTTCCCGCCCGCCGGTAGGAATGCGGGATCCCATGTGATGAGAGGGTTATGAACTCTCATTGGCTAGAGGACAGACGGGATATCCTCTGCGTCCTACCGACCTACTGAGATGCAGTTACTATGGTAACGGAGCATCTTTCTCCCCTCTTTCAAGGCAAAGTTTTGAATAATCTATCTTCACGTTTTTTAAGTGATGTAGGGATAGATTTAGTAAATGTGATGATCTGAGACATTTTTAATTAATGTATTTAAATTAGTTTTTATACGCAAAAAGGATTTTTCGGGATTGAGCTTTTAGTAAAATTAGATAATTTTGTTTCAATATTAAGAATGTAACAAGCTCATGTTTTCTTAGATTTTACAACGTGTGACTCTGACTGACATTGCTTTTTTTAAAAGGGGAAAAAATTGAAAAACTTTTAAAATTCGAGGTAGCTGGGTTTTTCTTTTTTGATTATTATTTTTGATTTGTAGAGAACAGCAACTTTTTATTTCTGAAATTCAAGCATTTATTAAGTACTTTATGATTATTTCAAGCATGTATGGCAAGTTTAAGAACCGTAAACTGATTCAGGAATGAAGCGTAAAATTTTTTCTTATTTGATGCGCATTTTATTTTATTTTACTTTACAACCGGTGTTGAACAACCGACCCAATTTTGAATTTATGACTATCAAATCAATGTTAACTCCGTAGGCCAGTAATTTTGAACCTAACCCAGAAGAGGGAACCCATGGATCAAGCATTGGGACAAATTAGCCATCGTGGAAGACTTTTATATGGTACTAACAAGCATTAACTTTACACGGAGAGAAAAACCACGAAAATTCCCATGGTTAGCCCGACGGCAAGGCGATTCTAGCCCATGATCCGTCTACCACTGAGGATAATTTACGTATGCACGTATGAGGATAATTTACGTAAGTGTTAGTTGGAAGCAGAATTAACCAGCCAATCTATAACTGGGATTCTAACCGAGTTACCTCATTGGAAGGCGAGCGCTTTATCCCCTGACCCCCCGTGGTTCAGCCAGCGTGTATTGATATCAAGTACAGAAGCAACTTACTTTTAAAATACTTTTCAACTTTTTTTTTAAATTAAAAAAATAGACATTTAACTAAGCTTTTTTATTACGCCCTACGTTATCTCTAATTTAAATAAAAACAAATCAATAAAACGGGTGCAGCAGTTTTAAAAAAGTGTATCTTTCTTGTCTTATCTCTTAACTTCTTTTTTTTTCACAGGAAAATCGAAGTAAGTGGGCGTGCAATGAATGATATTATAACGTGACATCTTAATACAAGTGGTAACGTCAACGCATATGCATTAATTTTTCAACCATCATTCTGCTCGCTTTTATCCATAAGGCCGGAAACTCATAGCTCAGACAAGAGCGTCTAGAGGCGGGGATTCAACCCTGTC